TCCAATTCATATTTTTTTTTTAAAATTTTTTATATATTTTTTTTTACTTTAAAGAAAATTGACAATAAAATGTTTAGGGTCGCTGGGAATAAATAGGGTCGGTCAGGAAACGGTAACCACACCTATATTTTGTTTTAGCCTAAGGGACCTGCATGACTATATATACCTGGAACTCTAGGAATAGAGAAGAATGATCATATAACATATTATACGAGTTAAAAATAACAGTGTCTGTGTAGAGGCATTCACCCACCATTTGCACAATCCCATCATGTGGCCCCTGGTATCATTCCTCTCCGGAGGGTCATATTTCTCGAGTACAGGCAGAACTTTCAATGGCGGGATCACACCCTTTTCTATAAAAAAAAAAATTTCAGTCATACAAACAAGAATAAATAGCATATTACTAAAAAGCTGTTGTGTATAGGCTGTACTGTCAAAGTTGCTCAATCGCTCTGCTAATATGACACACTAGTATGTTTCACTATACTTAATTCAATACCACAAACAATATTTTAGAACATTTTACTTAAATGCATAATTTGGAAAATATGACAGATTTTTGCACAACACCAGCATGTTAGCATGATTGGAAGATATTCTCTAATGATGTATCAGAATTACTCTGTATATAAGAACTTTATAGAGGAAAGGTCAAGCACTAAACTTTATCTAGAACAATACTTTAGCTATCACTCACTCATAGAAATAATATAGATAACCATATATAACCATACAGATACCAATATAGTTATCTTTATTATTTCTATGGTTTCAAGTGACAAAAGTTACAATTTTACATATCTTGCAGTTCAAGTCCCTAAGTGTCACAGCTAACCAATAAATACTGTCCGACTGATTAGTCAGTAAATGAAATCAGTCTTGCTTGACAATACGTAAATTGAGACAGAACACCGATTTGTTACTGATCACCGATTTGTTACTGAACAAAGATTTCATTGTAACCCTCGTCTTCGGCCAAACACATATGCAACGATTTTTGCCTTTATCGCCAAATAAAATCTAGCAGACTTGATGGGAGATATTTGTATCAGCAACCAAAGAATTTCAGTCATCATCTAAAGTGCGTGTGGGGAGATTTCTGATGCCAGATTAAACATCAGTTTGTTAGGAGAAAAAAGCTATCCTGTCAGATGGATTTGGATTGACTGCATGAGGATCGCTGGTCTATCATATATGATCACTACATATGGCTGAAATTCACCTGTGGCCGAGTACATGTAGTCGAGGCCACCTAGTTTCCAGACACCAGCCTGATCGACGAAGACCGAGGACATGCATATATTGTTATGCACTAGCGAGGCGTCATTATTAAGAAATCCCAGAGCTTTCTGAAATGCACCACAGTTGAATTAACGTGCATGCTAATGATAGATCCCTTTCCTATCAAACATTATTTTAAATTTCTTAAAACTGGATTGCACACAAAACACCATGAGCATTTCTGGCGCTAAAATGTTGTTGCTAATGTATTTACAATAACTTGATGTAGACCCCAGGAGATACTCAGGTCAAGCTGCTGCTGAATGTGCTCTGTACTTTCAAGGTAATGCACCAATGGAACAACATATTCCGTAACAATGTAGATAACTTTGTCTGTCTGGAAAAAATAGTACACACAAATTATTAACTTATTATTCAATATGTTTATTGGGATAAAGAGTGAATAGGAACATAATTACATTTGATAAATTCTCTGTTACATAAAATTCTAATATTAAAAACATTTACTATTTTACCTCAACACCATCGATGTATGTGAGGAAGTTTGGATGCCTCAGAGTCTTTATTCGCTTGAATGCTGCTTTGGCTAGTTGTGTCTATAAAAGAAAATGACACAAACTCAAATATCAGTCTAACCATGAGGAAATTTAAGCAGGGCTGCCAACTCTCACGCATTGACCGTGAGACTCACGCATTTTGACCAAATCTCACGCTCTCACGCTGGTCTTACAATATCTCACGCACAGCAAAAAAATGCTGAGATATCTCACGCATGAATATCTTTTCATGAATAAAACGCTGAAATATCTCATGCACAGCAAAAAAAATCTTACAATATCTGAAAACAGTCACTTTAGTATGCACCAAATTGCACAAATTGAAGTTATAAAATGCAAAAGCTCCCTACCGTGGAAGGGGGGAAACCCCCTTCCCACTCCCTCCCCCCCCCCTCTGTCTCTTCGCTCCCTCGCATCTCACTCTCACCTATCACCCAATGTTGGCAGCCCTGATTTAAGTACCTATGCATAAATGCTCACATATTCTTTTGATGCTGCCTACACAGTATTGTCACCACTTCAACTATCAACACGCATGTTTCATATTTAGCACACTCACCATTGAAAAAATTATGGTGTTTTGCATACTTATTTCAGTTTCTAAGTCAGTCTAAACACAAATGTTCATACTTTATTGTACTCAAAAATAAGAATCACTTTGAGAACAATGCAAGAATATAAACTGCATCAAACAAGACAGCGTACACCTCATTTTTTGGCCAATTAGGAATCCTTATTTTGAGCACAAGTTGAGGGTTAGCTCAAAATTAATTAAAAATCTCTATACAGTATATTTATATATAAATATATATATAAATTTTAATGTACTATACATTGTTCTAACATGTGTGGAGATAGTTCAATAGTTTTTAGAAAATCCTCCAAGATATAAGTAGTGTGTCATATACAGGTACAGTCCGACCTCCTTTATCCGGCCATCCGTTATCCCGAAATCTCTATTAACCGGCCACGATCTCGCAGTGTATGTTCTCTGTTTTTCATTCATTTCCACCTAAAAATCTCGCTCAAAACTCACGCGATGTACCAACCGTACATGTGTTTGCGTGTGTGTACGCGCGCGCGTGTGTGTGTGTGTGTTGTCCGCCCGTGTCCGCTATGCCTCCAGTAAAATTTCTGTTTTATTTCAGTTCATTTCCATTTCATATAAACCATAAAACACGACAGTTTGTTACAAATAATCAGAGCAACGAGTAAATTATACATTATCACATGCATAAACCCTACTGAATTGCATAGAAATGCCGTGTTTGAGCATAACTCTCATATCCGGCCAAATCCCATATCCGGATGGGTGCCGGTCCCGACGTGGCCGGATAAAGGAGGTCGGACTGTACTTAAAATATATTTACCTGTCCTTCAGAACCATTTTTCAAATCATAGGCAAATACTGATACAAGATCACCTGTACCCTGAAAGTATAATAAGGATATATTTCATTATTATTTCAATAGTTATTAATGATTAATAATAATAATATTCATTATCGTTTCATTACATGTAAAACCAGGGGTAAATATTACTGGGGGACCGTGACTGTGGCATGCCTGTAAGTGTAACATGCCTATGACTAGGCACATGCCATCTGTCTCATGAGGAATGGGACAATTCCACATTTACCAGCTTTAGTCTCCCTATGATTTATTATGTACCACTCAGAAACGTAAACTTAAATGTTACATTAAACACTCAATCAGCCTCAACATTAATTGCTCAAACATAATCACAATACAAAGAGATAGACAGATAGACTTGGATGTAAAAGGTCTGTGAGAAATCCTGTAATTTGGATATACTATGGCATATATATACCAAATAACCAACGAATAACAGTGACACCTACTGAAAAGTAATCACAGAAATGTTTTTCAATATATCACATTCAGTGAGATTTTACTATGTTTACGTTTTACTAGTATGTCAGTCTGACATACTGTTCTCGCCCACTTAACTGGTCCAAACCTTCGCTCATCATACATTGTGTTAGACCAACTGACAAAGCACTATTTATGCTAGGTGGCATCACTGCTCAGTGGGCAACATTGAGCAATTTAAAGCATAATTGGCAAATGTGCACGATTACAGACTGAGGGCTAATCACAAACGTGCAATTATATTTATACCTAAATGCTATTTAACTGAACGATATTCATTTTAGGACAAATTTATCCATATTATAACTGAAACTATATATGTCCTTTATAAGATATTGCAATCCTTCTGCTCTTAAATTAATAAATAAGAAACACCCTCGGTCTGTAGCCTGCAGCCAAAACGTTGCTTTGCGCAACCTTTTCAGTGGGTTTGCTGCCAGTGGCACCACCATCGTTGTAAGCAACGGTATAGCCGTCAGTTTTAAAAAATTTAAAAAAAATATTTCTAATAAATATTGAACCATAAAACTTTTTAGAAGCATAATTTCAACCTACCTTAGCTGAAAATATCTGAAGAACCTACAGAAATGTATCCCTTTGAGAGTTTATCTAGGGTGTGACAAAACATGAGACCTTCACTAACTTCATGACAATTCATACCCAAATTTATACAAAATCACTAGTAAAAATCAATACCCCTTGATGTTTGCATGGGGCTGGCAATCGCTGACGATTGTTTTCTCTATGTTGCAATTTCTTATAAGCCATTCCCATTTTTCTTTTCATATATCTATTATTATCCTGTATATTGGAATTATCTTCCTTCAGCTCTTTATCATTTTTTATTCATTTTTTAATCAAATCATTTGCACAGTAAGTTTTACATCATAAGGTTCAAATGTTCCTCTGCAGCACACAATGTAATAAATTATTGTAATTTAAAATTAAATAATTCTCTTCACATTTTGTATTCTCTATCGACTAGTCATTTCACGTAAATGTCATGTAAATGCACTGCAACTTAAGTCTCACCACATACATGCAACCGTGCACAAAATCAAAGGAAGTTAGAGCAGGACAAAAACGTTGTAATCGCCAAATTCGTACAATGCTTATTCGTTTCATAAAATTATAGCACAAACACACAAACAATCCCTTCCATTATTGGTATCTATAAGTAATCGAATAACCACTTGTTCGAATTATCACTCTTAATTGCCATTTAAACAAATTAATTAACCCAGAGAAATCTAGTAAATTTCCTACAGAAAATAGCTGCCTACCTGCACTGCGCAGTTGCGTACATGCAGTGAGAATTACACTGCAGAGTATAATAGTAGGCTACTATTACACATGCGTCTAACCAGAGGAATTGCTACGACCTGTGATTGGAGGATAAAAATAGAATTCGTGACGTTTCGTTTTCCTTTTGCATACCCCGTCGCATACACTATTATGCAATGACCGGTAGGAAAGTGTACTAACTATCATATGGCGCGAACAATTCGAGTTACATTCATTTCTATAAATTCTAGCTATTATAGACACATGTCTTAACCTTAATCTTTGCGAATTTTGAGTCTATTGAAGCGAGATTAGTCTAAGTAATTAGCAAATATGCATGCGCGGTATCGCTCATAGGCTAATATATGCGCGGCTATGGCCGGTAGGCACCCGGTAGGCAATTGTACTAGCTATCATATGGCACGAACGATTTGAGTTACATATTGCTATAAATTCTAGCTATTATAGACACATGTCTTAGCTATGATCCCTGTGAGTCTTGAGTTTATTGAAGGGCAATTAAGCCAAAAAAAATAAAATATATATCAAAAATCAAAAAATATGAATTGGAATGTTCCTGCTTCAAAAGGCACAACGCAACTCCTTCGTACATGGTTCTTAAATAAAATTTTTCAAGAAAATAAAATGTTTGTAATTTTTCGCGCTACCTACCTACCATATTTTGTTTTCGGCACTGTAACGGTAAACCCACACATATTATTTTGGTTTTGGCCTTAGGCTTAGATTAATTAGCAAATATGTACGAGTGCGTGATCGCTCATACTCGAAGTCGATAGGCTAAAATGCCAAATGCAAAACGAAAACGTCGATGAACTTCTATTTTTATCCCCTCAATCACGAAGTCGGAGCCAATTCCTGTGCTGAGACGCGCCATGTCTAATTTAGCAGTCATGACATGATTTATGGGTGAAATTACTATGCCGTGCTACTGTGACCGGTTCCGGATGAGGAGCCCGTAGCATCTCACACACGTGATCTTGCGACACGTACACACATGATTGCGCAATCGCGGACCTTTGCTGATGTGCCGAGTGGTGTGGTGTGTGTGTGAGAGAGAGAGAGAGAGAGAGGCTGTGTGGGCGTGTGCGCGTGCGCGTGCCTGCGGTGCGAGAGCGAGAGAGAGAGAGAGAGAGAGATGCGAGAGAGAGAGAGAGAGAGAGAGAGAGAGAGAGAGAGAGAGAGGAGAGAGAGAAGGAGAGAGGAGAGAGAGAGAGAGAGAGAGAGAGAGAGAACGCAGAGAGAGAGAGAGATGAGAGAGCAGAGAGAGAGGAGAGAGAGAGAGAGAGAGAGAGAGACGAGACGAAGAGAGAGGACGAGAGAGAGAGAAGAGAGAGAGACTGAGCGAGAGAGAGAGAAGAGAGAGAGAGGCAGAGCAGAGAGAGAGAGAGAGCAGAGGGAGAGAGAGAGAACGTAAGAGAAGAGAGGCAAGAGATATGGTACGCGATGAAACTGATAAGTCGGCCAGCAGTGCATATCCTTTTACGGCCGTAACGCGCCATTAGGAGCGCTTCCAACTTTAATGTTCATTAATGTCGTGATATTAGGTAGTATCAAGCGGCGAGGTCTCACACTAACCCTAACCTAACCTAACCTTTCTTAACCATTAACATATATTGTATATTTTCGGCAATCCGCAGACCGCGTACGGGTGGCGGCGGCCAATCATGCGTGTACGCGGACGTCGTGTGATCACTCGTGAGTGGATGTGCCGCGATGCGTAGCCTGGAGGCCTAGGCGACGCGTTCCGAACGCGCGAGCACTGCCAATTACTATTCAATAGAAAATACATAAACGTGTAAGAAAAGTTGCGTTTTATTTACAATCAATTTTACTTATTGCAATGCACTGTTCAGTGTCCCTGTGACTGTATGACAGTGTGTCATCGTGTGATGAGGTGACAGAGTGACCCCAGTGTGAAGTGCCGTGTGGAATGCACATCATTGCCATTGGTGATTGGATGATGTGATCCAACAACTAAACGGCGACCACGGCTCCTCGACTGCCTTACAGGTGTAGACTACCTCTGCGCCAATGTATCGTGTTAAGGAGAAGGGAACTTGTGGCTAGGATGGCAAACTAGATACAATAATGTAACCCAAACCAGGGAGGATAGCGGTTACAAAGCGTTCCGTATGCGTTTTATGCGGAGGAAACGCGCTGAGCTGAATTCAACTCAGGGCGGTTTGCTGGTGCGCTTTTCAAATAGAGCCTAAGAACTTTCCAAAACTGGGTTTATGTCATAAAACGGGAGGATACGACACCCGAATTTCTCGCGCTAGTCCGGGAATTACTCGTGCCTATCGCAATACTCTGTATTCAAAGCTAATATACCTGTTACAAAAATTCGAAGTGACGAGCGCGGACGATATTCGGAGACGCATTTCTGTTGACCTGTGACATACGCATTCCCAATAGCGGCATAGCGATCGGCAAACGCAGCGCCTCCGATTGGTCGGTGAATCCGCTCTTCCATACCCGAAGTACATCAGCAGGTCAACAGAAATGGCGCTCAGTATATTCGCGCTCGTCACTTTCGAATTTTTGTAACAGGCTTATATAGTTTAATACAGAGTAGGCCTATTGCAGATACATACCCTAGTAGCAGTAAGTTCCAGCGATAGCGGCGAAGGTTCGTTATATACATCCGAATTTAATTTACCTAGACTCTAGTTTGGAACGGAGAAGTTCTTAGAGCCAAAGTCGGACACCGCAACCCCTGAGTGATTGCAGCTCACGGTACCGTTCGTCCGCACAAACGGAACGGACCCCGCTTCATAGTAACCTATCCTAACCTTGGTTTGGGTTACATTATTGTAGGCCCCTATCTAGGAATGAGTACCGGTACGGCGGTAGGATGGCATTGGCACCTGCAGGCTGCACCTGTCTAGTCACTAACGACAATCATACCTTCTTTTTGCCTTCGTATAAAGTCCATATTGAGCTATCTTCGAGTCCCTTTATCTTCTCTCCGAAATCATAATTGATATCTTTAGTCGAATCTCTCGAGAAGAACCACATTTCATAAGTTAGGAAAACTGTAACCAAAACATGCGTGATGTGTACTGTTGTTGATTGCTCAATTGTCTTTTTAGCAGCGCCACTATATAGCTTCACCGCGGAGTCGCGACGTACTGGCGGGAATTTTGTTGTTTATAATTTTACTACTTTGAGTGTGACAGGTTTATTGTTATCTTGTGAAGCTACCTTTGTAAAGCTTTATTTATTTGTAAACAATCTTAAACTGAAGCTGAAAGTGGCGCAGTAATGATTGGGTGTCACGGAAGTGCAAGTGCCAGTGGCAGTGGTAAGAAGCGAGGAAAACCTGGGCTTTGTAGTTTGTACACTGACAGTGACAGTGTGACTGAGCCTGGTAGGGCCTACTGTCACTGTGTACACAGATAATAAATCTCTCACAATCTAGGATTCTAGCTGTCACTGCCTCTCTCCCAGACTCTCTCTCTCCCTATCTCTCTCCCTCTCTCTCTCTCTCTCTCTCTCTCTAGTCTCTATCCCTCCCTCCCCTCTGCTCCTCCCTCTCTCTCTCCACCCTGCCTCTCTTTTTCCTCTCCGACTAGCTAACGCTGAGCTTAAGACCGAATAAATTCTCTCCCCGTATAACCTTTTTTATATTTTTTGCGTGAGGGTATCTTGGACAGCAACGGGTTCCTTGAAATTTTGTGAGATCGCATGCACCAATGCATGCGCCTGCCTATTGCAGGCCGTCCCGCTATTGTCACGATAAAAAAACTACACGTTCCCTTTCTGTAGCATGGCTTACCTTGCTACTTATATGTTACACATTCACTTTCAATTCGTTATTCACGTTCTTAAAAGATTGGTTTTCAGAAACCCCCCTTTATTAATTTGAGTGAAAATTACGTTTTGCCATTTACAAACAATCGGACCCAATTTCAGAGCGAGTCTTATCAGAGCCTTCCTGCCAGCTGCCACCACGGAGGCGCCCACAGCAATTCCAGCCAGAAAATTTTGCCAAAAGCAAATTGTGCCCATATACAAATGAAGTAATTTTGCAATAGGCATATTGGATAAATTTGTTATAGCATTTTTTTTTCAGACAATCACAGTGCAATTTACATACGCAGTGCATGGCTTGGCGTTGTTATCTCGTGTCTGCCTGTGACAGGCCACAGGCTAGCCTTAAGCCGTAGGACACACTAGCCGATTCTGCACGCTGCCCCGGCAGCGTTTAACAGCGTGCGAGCTTTGGCACATCGTTCCCGAGCCGCCAAATGGCGTCGATGAAATAATATCGGGGCCGGGCCGAGAGTGAAAGCCTGAAAGCTGACTCGCCCCATGTTGCGAGTAAAAATAATCCGTCTTAGACTGTTAATCAAATCGTTGGTTCCGTTACGTTATATATCCAAACATTGATGAAATACACAGTTCTAGCGATTGTGAAGGGCGGCTATTCTGACCCTCGCCACAGGACATGAGCCGTCACTTTATATTATCAAAGGTCGCCGAAGAAAGCAGCCAGCGAGAAGCGTGCAGCGCCAAGCACAGCGTGGCTGTGTATAGCGTGCCTGGGGCGCATATTGATTGATGGTAGCGGGGGGGGGGGGGGAGTGCAGGAAGTTGTTTTAAAAGTCACGTTGGGCCGTGGTTCGTGAACAATCAATAAAAACTCGGCGTAACGTTGGCATTTCATTGAACGCGGCAAGCAGCCGAGAATCAAAAGTAAATTGTAACAATGTATGTTTCCGTTTACAGGATACACAAGAATGATCTCGCATGGGCTGCACGCACAACTGGCGAATTCATAAAAAAATCATGGCGTGCAAATGGCTGAAAATACATCGCGAATTGGGCGATGGAGAACCGCGGAACAAATTATTCCCCTGCCCACAGATATAAGCGAGAAACCAGGGGCTATTGTATAGACTAGGCTCTGGAGTGGTCTGATTGTTTTGTAGAATGCTGCACGTACATTTTTACCTAATTGTTAAATGAAGTGGGGTTTCCTGAAAAACAATCATTTACAGAAGTGAATAGCGATTGAAGTGAATGTGTACACACAGCTATCAGTACAAGGTAAAGCCATGTAGAAGGAAACGGTAGGTTTTTGTTCGTGCCAATTAGCCGATCGTCACGAAATTTCAATGAACGCCTGTCTGTCTTCTCCATATAACCCTGCACCAAAATATAAAAAAGGTTATATGGTAGCAGAATTATTCAGTATCTATTAGCTGAGTAGCCTCTCCCGTCACTTTAATATTTGTATATGATACTCGTAACTAGTATCTTTAATTTAAGACTCACACAGATCAAAAAACCCCTTAACTGGCCAATCGCATAACAGAACCTATACCCTAGACTAGTAGTACTAGTACGCTGCTGATCAGGGTCTCATGTCCCGTACCAGGGTACGCTGCCGGAACGTACCGCTGCAATGGGTACGGTTGGTATATGCCGGAACGTACCCTGGTAACTCTGATAGGTGAACTCACTAAAGCCGGACCCGTACCTGCGCTTACTGCCCTACGGTAGACGCTGACTGCTCGCCTGTTTCCGGGCCCACGTACTGATGTCCGCAAAATTTGAAAATATACACTAAGGCCTGTAGAAAATCTTTATAAAGTTGGAATTGGAGTATGAAACTGTGAAACCAAGAAGAAGAAAAAATTTCAAACCTATAGTACATGCATGCGGCAGCAATCCTTTTGCAAATATCGGCGATGATCGGGAATGCTGTTTTCCCTAGAATTCCTAATCGTTTACGGACATTTCACGCGCAATGGTGTTCGCGAATATTTTTGAAAAGAATCGCTCCAGGAGTGTTTTGGTGGACAGGAAATTTGTATGATTATTTAATGGGGTCTGGAAAGTATGAGACCTCGCTGACACTTGTAGAAAGGGTCTGGAGGTGAAACGTAACAGGGTGAAGGCGGTTACAAGAGATATTTTGCGGGAACGGACCGGATAACGAAGGAACGGGAGCATAAAGCGGCGCCGTTGTCCTGCCGACCAAGCGTCAATGTATCGACCTCATCGCTGGCAAGTCAGGGCAGGTTTGGAAGTAAGACGAGGTACGGTCCGCGGCATATATAGATAGTTACCGAGGGTACGTTCCTGGACTTCTTTGGTATTAGGCCGGGACCGTACCGGGTACGTTTCGGCAGTACCCTGGGGGACATAGACACTGATCAGCAGTAGTAGTAAGTACTAGCCCTATACGATCCACCATTACAGTAATGTTGAGTGATGATCGAAGCCTCTAAGACTAGTGGGCTGTAGCCCCTCGCCTAATTAGGCCCTCTATTACATGTACTGTTGGAGTGTGAACTGTGTTATGTCTATAGAATAACACTGCTCTGTTGCCTCCAATTTATACACAACCTCACAATTGTCATCTGAGCGCCTATACATCGCATCACATCACGCTAGTGAGTAAGTGTGTACATGGTTTTCGCAGATGATGTCATATAGGGGTTGTTTCCTCGCTTTAGGTTTTGCCACTGCAGAATTATGACACGTGTATTTGATTCTGAGGCAGTCTTATACGATGACGACTCAGAAGTCGCAGATGTGTCACAGCGCCGGCGGCGCGCAACGTTCGGAGGTGACAATGAATGCAGTGGCCTCACTGGGCTAAATGAGGATGGATGCAGGTTAGTAACTACTATCTAATTTAGTCAGTCGCCATCGAGTAGAAATACTGGATGGAAGCCTGGACGATGCCCGCCTGCCCGCACCCAGGCCCGGCGCGTCCAATAGGAATGGTAAATCGTACTTCTCCTCACGTGTTAGCCGTAAGTACTATAGCGTGCACTACTGGCGCGCCCCGCGCCTACGTATTCCCATACCGGTGCCTGGAGTTATCGATATTAAAATAGGTGGATCGTAGTACACTGCCATGACTGAGTTATGGTTGCACCGTCGGTCGCGTGTGACTCACTGCAAAGGGTACGCCAGTAGATCTGTAGTCAGATACACGCATGCGGTGCTACTCGGCAGTGCGCGCCGCTTTTCAGTCCGTGCTCCGGCAGACGAAGGCGTGCCCCCGCCGTACAGCGAGCGGAGCTTGGGCACCGCAGCCGTAATCCGCATGATATACGGGGGACCGTGCTCCGGCGCAGCCGCGCGTGTGGGTTTGGGTTGGAGGCCATAGGCACTGCGTGACGGTCGGGCAGCGGGCGGCGTGTCCGAGGGTCTGGGAGGCGCCGGCGCTACGTTGGGAGTTGGCTGCGCGTAGCCGGTGCCCAACGCGACGTTGACCGAACTGAATGAACGGTGTTCTGGCATAAATAGAAACGTTTGTAATTGCCAGCGCCGCACCGCCGCCTGCCCAGGGAGTCGAGGCCAGAGAACGGACGAGTTCTCGGTTGCGCCCGACGGCGGCTCTCGCCGCGTGCGAACGTCTTGAAAGAAGCTTATGTCTACTGAAATCAAGCCAACCTATATATGTACGGCCAGCTGAAGCCAACACAGATTCTAATATCGTCGTCTCAAGCACCTAACAACAGCGCCGCAGGCGCCGCGCCCGGAGTCCCGTACGGGAGGAGGAGGAGAACGAGGAGAGATATAGATTGTGTGCGCAGTGCGGCTACGATGATTCAGTAGAGCCATAATTGGTTGTAAGATATCGGCAGGAGACCCTGACACACTTCTCTCTGCACTCTCGCAACGCTTTCAATATCAACGTTTTATGTTAGTGCAGAAACACGTTCATTTCATCTCCGTCCACTTAGACTAAGGCAATATAGGCCTAACTCAAGCATGTATCCATTATTCAAAACAGTGTGCGACAATACTATATACTGCATTATTACGATTGGTTTTTAGGGGCATTTGCAGCACTATGAAGACGATCACTAAGCAGACATTTATTGCTACATATTATCTACTTTGCAGTATAAGAACCTAGACTATCACTAGTCATGGCAGGTTACTACCGCATCCACTATTCGTCAATAGTCGCATAACAGCGGAGTAATAGTCACGCGAGTAGTAGTACTGAGTACTGTCTACTGAAGTGAGCGAGAAGGTTCACAATTTGATCATTCTTACTTGAGTTTAGGCATGGGTCAGGCTTGCATAGTAGTTTAGGCTCACGGACTGATATAGACTGAGCTACCGTTGTCCACCGTAACCTGGATCGGCAGTCCATAGCCACGCTGGCGCACCTGGCATTCATTTGTCCACTGAAAGTTCGTAGAAGGCATCTGACTTCCTATCGTCATCTACTAAATCCGTGCAGAGGATCACAAGCATACCTCGCTGTTCATAATTCTGAGTGCCCAAACCTAAAGGAGGAAAGCAACTATATGACATCATCTGGAAAAC